GGTTTTGGGCCAATCTCCTCCTCTTCACAAAGACATTACTTACATAACCGCCTCATACTCAGTAGTGAATCCTGGATCTAGAGCCCTCAGGGTAAAATAGTCAAAAAGTAACAATTTAAACAAAATGGATCTAAAGGATCTGACAGGTTGATTGTCAATCAAAGAACTGACACGGAAATAATTCAGTGGAATTGACTGTTAGGTGTTGGTCCTTCTTTCATATGATGTCACATTAGGGGTCTCTAGAGACATAAAAACAAACAAGCTTTAGCTTTTGATGAAGAGTGTGAATAAGAGTTCTTGTTTGATACTGTAGATTATCATTCCAGAGAATGAAGGAGTTTGTGTAGAACTTTCTTTCTACATCTTAAACTCACAAGTTCCCACTACCTCTCACACCTTTGCCAGTGACTCAGTGATAAGAATGGCCATACTGGATCAGTGCAATTGTCCATCTAGCCCAGTATCCTGTCTTCTGACAGTAGGCAATGCCAGGTGCCCCAGAGGGAATGAACAGAACAGGTAATCATCAAGTGATCCATTCCATGTCGCCCATTCCCAGCTTCTGGCAAACCTAGGGACACTTCAAAGCATGATTTTGCATCCCTGCCCATCCTGGCTAATAGCTATTGATGGACCGGACCTATCCTCCATTAATTTATCTAGTTCTTTTTTCAACCCTGTTATTGTCTCCTCTGGCAAGGAGTTCCACAGGTTGACCGTGCATTGTATGTAAATACTTCCTTTTCTTTGTTTTAAGACAGCTGCCTATTAATTTCATTTGGGGGACCCCTAGATCTTGTGTTATGAAAAGGCATAAATAATACTTCCTTATTTACTTTCTCCACACATGTCATGATTTTATAGACCTCTAGTCGTCTCTTTTCCAAGCTGAAAAGTCCAAGTCTTTTTAATCTCTCCTCATAAGGAAGTTGTTCCATACCCCTAATCATTTTCGTTGCCCTTTTCTGAACCTTTTCCAATTCCAATCTATCTTTTTTGAGATGGGGCAATCAGGTCTGCACACAATATTCAAATATGGGCTTACCATGGATTTATATAGAGGCAATATGATATTTTCTGTCTTATTATCTATCCCTTTCTTAATGATTCCCAACATTCTGTTTGCTTTTTTGACTGCAACTGCACATTGAGTGGATGTTTTCAGAGAACTATCCACAATAACTTCAAGATCTTTCTTGAGTGGTAACATCTAATTTAGACCCCATCATTTTACCTGTATAGTTAGGATTATGTTTTCCAATGTGCATTACTTTGCGTTTATCAACATTGAATTTCATCTGCCATTTTGTTGCCCAATCATCCAGTTTTGTGGGATCGCTTTGTAGCTCTTCACAGTCTGCTTTGGATTTAACTATCTTGAGTAGTTTTGTATCATCTGCAAATTTTGCCATCTCACTGTTTACCCCTTTTTCCAAATCATTTATGAATATGTTGAATAGGACTGGACCCAGTACAGACCGTTGGGGGACACCACTATTTACCTCTCTCCATTCTGAAAACTGACAGTTTATTCCTACCTTTTGTTTCCTATCTTTTAACCAGTCACCGATCCATTAGAGGACCTTCCCTCCTATCTCATGACAGCTTACTTTGCTTAAGAGCCTTCGGTGAGGGACCTTGTCAAAGGCTTTCTGAAAATCTAAGTACACTATATCCACTGGATTCCCCTTGTCCACATGCTTGTTGACCCCCTCAAAGAATTCTAGTAGGTTAGTGAGGTATGATTTCCCTTTACAAATGCCATGTTGACTCTTCTACAACAAATCAAAGGGACTAAACCAGTCAGAACTGGGGAAGAGAATAAAACCTCAAGAATTTAGGAGAAAGGTGAACTTATTCCCCTTAGTGGAAAAGAAAAGAAAAAAAGGCACTATTAACAAAGCAAAGCTCCAACAAGACATCATGAAGACACTATAATAGAGGCTCAATTGAATGTATACCCCAAATTAGAAAACATAGTAAGGGAACCAAAAAAGTGCCACCGTGGCTAAACAACAAAGTAAAAGAATCAGCAAGAGGCAAAAATGCATCCTTTAAAATGTGGAAGTTAAATCCTAGTGAGGAAAATACAAAGGAGCATACGGTATGACAAGTGAAGTGTAAAAATATAATTAGGAAAGCCAAAAAAGAATTTGAAGAACACCTAGCCAAAGACTACCTCATATCTCACCAGTGTACTAGAATTCATTTTTAGGAAGTGTGGAAATAGGGGATTTATAAACTTATGATATTTTCATGAATTGTCTACATCTCAGATTTAAAACAAAGGCTCTAATCTTTGACATTTTCTTCAGGACATGACCCAATTTCAAACGGTCTGGTATATCTCTCAATTAATAAGTTCTAATTGCCTCTCAAAAGGAGCATGTAGCTTTTCCAAAGACTGGAGAAAATTGTAAAATTTCATAAATAGTCATAATTATTAGTAGGTTCATCGATCTATAGTGCACTACACGTGAGAGTTATGTGTAAGGAGTTCAAAACTAAAATCTAAGTCCTTGTGAAGTTGATGCTACTGTACCCACAGAGAAATTTAAAGTCATGTACTTCCTTCATAACCCCCCCAAAATGGATCAAACTCAGACTTTGCCAGAAAATCATTTTGAAATCCAAAACAAAACTCTTAGTGTTTTTTTACTATAAATGAAAAATTTACTTTCATTAATAAAACCAACATGTCATTCTAGTAACTGACTCTATACTCCTCTATGCATAAATGCATCTATCTTCGGGTTATATTGCATTAAAGAGTATACCCTGAATAACTGTTAATGATTGGATTGGATGTCATAACCTGAGCTGTGTTATACTTGCATTTCTTTTGGGTCTGACTTAATTTTGACTCCTGACGTAGGAGAAAACTGGCCAGACTGGTTAGGAAACAGATGAAAAAGGTTGAGACACTGTGAACAGATTCATTCAAAAATATTAATCTTTTCCAGTCAATGTTAAAAACAGACCTCACACTGCAAATAATTAAACAAGGGGAAATTGAAGATAGGAAGCAATTACAAGAAATATAGTTCTCAAACCTTGGTATTGACTGATGTTGTAAATAGGTGTAGGGTCATAAAAACTGTCTTCTCAGAGCTGGTTAACTAGGGAATTAAACGTAATGGAAAACACCGCCTGTCAAGCTAGTTTAAATTCAGCCCAGATTGCATCACCAAAAGTCATTACCATTTTATGGCTGAACATTGACCTATGTGAAATGCTTTGGTGGTTTCAATCCATTTCCTAATTCAATATCACAAAACCTATTGTTGGCAACTTTATTGAGAGTCTCAGCAAATGGACCGAGGACTGAATCGGTATGGAGATTGAACTACTCTCTCACCCCAAAAGGTGGCCCTTCCAGGTTGATTGAGGTACATGGGCAGAACAATTATTAGAATATTTTAATTTATTTTTCTTGTGCTATTCAGAAAGATTAGCAAACATAATTGTTCATTCCTAAAGTTGGAATAGAGAGAGATTAGAGGGGTGCTCAGACCTAGGGTTTTGATTTGGGCCCCCTCTCTGCCCAAAATATCTAAAAGAAACAAACCTCCTTTAATTTAACAGAGCCTATTATTTTTAAAGAATTCTGATTGTAGGAACAGACACAGACAAATAGAACACGAGAGATCAAGCACAGACAACAGTCTTGGAGAACTTACTTAAAATAGACTTCAGAGATGTATTTTTAGAAGGAGGGAGAGGGTTGTCTTCTATTCTCATGCCAAGTTTTGTAGTTGTGCAATAACGTAAGAGGTTTAAATAGTGTTTAGAAATATCTTGCACACGCTCTCAACTTTCTTACTCTAGAAGCAAATTAAATACATGCTACATGCCAACTAGTTCCAAATAAGAGAGATCAAAAGGAAATGTTCTGATACTGTGTCTTAGCATATCAGTTCATTGGTTTTAATGTAATTATTCTGCATTAACAAAACTTTAAATAATTTTATTAGTAGTTGCAAATCACTTGAGAGAGAGTAGAGGAAGAACAAAAATATGTGTACTATATTCTATGAAATTACTTTATCATATACCAATATTTTCAGTTATTACAGAAATTATCTTTTACAGTGGCCCACATGTTCTCTTCCTGAATGAAAAACAAATGGAAAAAAAATGAGGTCAAGAACATCATTCAAGTTTAGGCAAATTAACCCCGTCTTTTCTGTAGGATTGGCAAGGGTTGTGTTGTGAGCAGGTGACCATGAAAAGCAGTGGAGTCTAAGCATCCATGGGAAACCCTACACCTGCCATATAGATACCCTTAACAGGGCATACAGAAGGACCATCCTTCTGCACTTTCTTGTGATACATAAGAACGGCCATACTGGGTCAGACCAAAGGTCCATTCTAGCCCAATATCCTGGCTTCCGACAGTGGCCAATGCCAGGTGCCCCAGAAGGAATGAACAGAACAGGTAATCATCAAGTGATCCATGCCCTGTCGCTCATTCCCAGCTTCTGGCAAACAGAGGCTAGTTTTGGCAGCATAGGCAATTAGCATATGGTCATTGTCTGTACTGTGTGACCCATCCACTGGGTGTCAGAGAACATACAACAGCAATTAATGCTCCTTCTTGCAGCAATAAACTGATGCAACATTTACTGTACTCATTATGCAGTTTTCCTAGAGGAACATATCACTTAGAAGAGCACCTCCCACTCATTCTGGCATCCTCTTTGAATTGAGTTAAGCTGATCAAGAGAGGACTGAATATGCTTCGCTACATAGCTCAGACAATACAGACTTTTAAAGCTTTTCAGAGCACGGTCTTTTAGATCCGGAGATTACTTGTGTTTCAGAAAATTTTAATTTTTGCCATTTAAAAAAAATTGAATGTTTCAGCAAGGGAGCATTTTCAACAAGAAAATCTTTAAAATAGCCTCTTAGAAAAACTCTATGGTTAAATGACATATCCCTTATTCATTGCAAATTAACAGGGATAAATGTTTCTTTGTTCATATGTTGTTTGACAGGCTACCCTTGCCAGACCATAAATTTATGGGCTACTGGAGAATCAATCAATCAGGGAACGCACGGCGGAAACTACTATGTCCAACAGAAACTCATCAGTTAAATATAAAGGTTTGTATCTTTTTTAATGCTTAAAAATATTGATTACCGGTAGTCATTTTTTCTTTACAGCAATAAATCATCACCCAGATTATGATTTAATAAATGTAAGATGTCACTCATTTCCTGCAGAAAGAAGAATCTGAGTTGATTTTTGTAATGAAATAAATACTGTTAATTGTACAGATTAAAAAAGTAGACTATTTTGTGATTCACACTGCCAGCTGAGTTGCTGTGGGGTCCTATCTTGTGAGCCCTCCATATGCAGGACATATACTGAAAGGAGTACTGGGGAGGGGGGAGGGAGGAGGGTGGACTTTGCAGGGTTGAGTTCAAAAGCTCTTGCAGAGTTCTTGCTATGAAGGTGACAATGCCATTTTTAGAGAAGCCCGGAAACAGGCAAGGATACGTGGGGAGGTCCAGTTTCGAGTCCCCAGATCACAACTCATCTGCATGAGATATAAAATGGGAAGGAGCCTGTTTTCCAGTTTCATTTCACATGCAGCTGAATTCTTCTGAAATTTTCTCTCTCTCAAATCTGAATCTGAACCTTTGGTCTGATTTGGCCTCCAGCCTAAACCTAATCCACATCCTCTACAAACCCAATGTCTTGTCCTGTCTTTATTATTACTTGAGTGGTGGGGGGGAAACTGTTAGTGTAATGTTGTTTGATATTTTAAACCTTCCATAATCAAGAAATTCGGTATTGTTTCCTTGCACAAATGCACTGTGCGCCAGTCTTTCATTATTGATCTAAAACACTCCAGGCAATGTGACCTCTCCTCCATGGGATTAAGGATCATTGTTCCATACTAAGTTCCATGCAGTTCCCCATGACTAGATGGATGTAATAGTTGAAATATGTAGCCTCAAGGGAGGGTGACAGCATGGCTTGTATATTATGGGGAAAATGGTGGCAGGATCTTCAGGGCTCCAGGTGGGATGCAGAGGGCTTACAGAAAAAGCAATCTGGTTCCTTCCCAAATATAAGCCTTCCTCTTTTGTTTATAATGCTTGGTCTGGCATTTAGTGTTAAAAGCAATAGAAATCTTTAGGAAAACTCCTAGCGTTTATAAAGGTTGGTGAGTGAAATAAAATACCTAGTCCTCGTGGTTATCATTTTCTTTTAGGGTCCAGTATATTTAAATGTTCAGGGATTTCCACTGGAACGGCATGAAGCAAGGTCCCTCAGTTTCACAGAAGAACTTGCTTTTTGGACACTGCCTTTGAATGAGGTTAACTTAGTCTGTGATGTTGCTGTAGCAGAAGGTACAGTAAAATATTTGTAATTTTTGTAATGATCCCCATTATTGTATGATATAAATTACACTGGAGATAATGAGGAATTGGACAGATGAGATCATAGCTGTTCATTAATAGTCAGTACTATGTAGTTTGTATTCCCTTTTTTTGAAATATGCAAGAGCAATATCATATTTTTGTAATTGCAATAAAAAAGAAACTACAAATTGTGTGCCGAGTGTACGCGCAGTAACACAGAGAATGCATTTCTGGGAACCTTCACTGCATGAGATATAGAAAAAATATTGCTTGCTTTTCTCTTCTTTATATTTAACTTTTTTTTTAAGTCAAAAAAGACAAAATGCAAAAACAGTCAATCATGAAAGGGGAGTATAATTCCATTAAAACATATTGGTGATAATGTAAACTATGAAGGAAATTTGGCTCTAAAAGGAAATATAGATGCGTAATTAAAAGTGTTCCTAATTTTTATATTATATAGTAGATTGTTTCAAAATTAATTTTAAAAAGTCTTTCTAACTTTGCCCTTCCCTAATTAAAACCAGTTCTAATGCAAGACTTGTAGCATGCAAAGTTCTGTGCTTTCTTTTTGGTGCTTATGCTGATCAGTGCCCTTTCTTATTGAATCAATCCTGCCTTATTTAACTACATTATATACATAGATATGTGTCCCAATGCGCATCACATCATTATTGATACTAGTGACCATTACTTATGGTATATTATAAAATGTAATAAATTTTGTGGCTGTAATTTATTTTACATTGTAAATACATTAAAATTATGTGGCTTCACTTTCTAAGCATGTTCACAATTCTGATTGTGGCTTCACTTTCTAAGCATGTTCACAATTTTTTGATGACACTAATAGAAATTGCAGTTTTAATTTGATGCTCAGAAACGTCTAAAGTGAGTCAAAAACAGTTGTAGTGTTTCTCTCGCCACATGAAACTTCCTTCCTCTTGTCTATAATTATTAAATGACCTGGTGTTTTAGTTCCAGAGAGTGGACACATTTTTAAAAAGTCTGTATCTGAAAAATTTTACTATAGTTTTCTCTTTCTTAGAAACTTTTCTTTTTTATAAGTAAACTTGCTTATGCTGTACAGGTTTCCGGTTATAAGGATTCATATAACACGAATCTTTAGCAGTTGATTTGGATGGCAAACCAGCTTTATGTCTTGGACTTCTATTCAAATATCTTTTGGAATAGTTGTGCAGGGAGTTACTAGTCAGTGTGAAGCCGGTAACAACTTGTCTGTTAAAAGTTTAGTTTACATATAGGCCACATCGCATCCTTGATTTATGTACAAAATTCCCTTTGTCATCATGGGAATGCTGCCATAGGTTAAGAGTAGCCGGGCCGGCTCTGGCTTTTTTGCCGCCCTAGGCAAAAAAGCCACCCGCCGCCCCCCCTCCCACCCCCCCAGCGCGGCAGGGGAGGGCGGCCAGAGCGCCGGGGGGAGGGCGGCAAGCCCGGCCGGGGCTCTCCGCTTTCCCCGGCGGCCAGAGCGGCGAGCCCGGCCGGGGCTCTCCGCTTTCCCCGGCGGCCAGAGCACTGGGGGGAGGGCGGCGAGCCCGCTGCGGCTCCGCTCTCCCCGGCGGCCAGAGCGCCGCGGGGAGGGCGGCGAGCCCAGTCGCGGCCCCACTCTCGGGCCGGAGCGCCCCGCGGCCCCGCTCTCGGGCCGGAGCACATGCTTGGTGGGCTGGTGCCTGGAGCCAGCCCTGAGAGTAGCATATAGTCCTACATGGATTGATTGATTGATATATGTGCCATAATAGGATAAACTTATTTTAAATATGTTGCTGTATTCCCACAATAGCATCATTCAGTTTTCAGTTAATCTGATGGTTAACATGATTTTGGATCATGACAGAGTCTTTTACTTTCATTAATTTTGCCTTATTTTCCTATTTCAGAAGACGAGACTGAAAATATGCTCTATGTGGCTACATGCAATCCAGTTTCCTTATATTTCATGAATGTATCTAGTAAAAATGGATACTTTGTGGATTGTTATGACATCTTCCCAAGAACGGCTGGCAGCATATGGCAACCCTTTGTGACTGTGGCACCTCTAGGAAATCCACTCAAAGGGCAAGTGATTCTTCATGAAGAGCAGGTAAAATAAATAAATAGATATCCTCCTGTTTCATGTTTCATTGTGAGAAAAGTAGTACAGCAAGAGTAGGATCCCGGTGGTTCCTCAATCTCTGTAGGTTGTGAGATACTTAGTCTAATTGCACAATAAACCTTTAGAGAGGGTCCCTCAGCTCTACTTTTTCTTGCGGTGTTTAGGCTGATTTACTGTATGTTTTTATGTACCTTTGCATTATTAATGCTGAGATTTGCCTGTTTATCCTGTTAGTGGTAAACGTACACTGAGAACTATTGGAGGGGGGAAAGGGAGATTATGATTTGCGTTTGGAAGTCTCAAATTAGCAGAGGAAACTTATTAAGTCTCAACTCCCCTATTTTAGCTGTGTATTCAAATCCAAGCCCTGCTCATCCCTGTTCTAGTTTTTGAACTTTTAATAAAAAAATAAATGCCTTCTGAATCACAATTGTTCATGCCACCATTCTTTTTTTTTAATTAAGTATCATGATGTTTCCCTTTCCATAGCATGAGTTTTGTGGGAACACAAAACTGAGAGTAGGATGGATGGGTAAAACAAGATGGTGGTGTAAACCACATTGTAGAGATGGATTAGAGTTGCAAAGTTTGGATTTGGATTCTAACTTTCTCAGTGTCAGATCTGTTTGATTTGGGCCCATCACTTCAATAGTCTTATTTGGAACTGCTATTAGAAATTGATTAGAATATTTTCAATTTAACACTTTTTTACAGGGGATGGGGGAGCAGCCACCAAGATGCTGACATGAGTAAAAAAAGAATTAAGTATTAATATGAATTATAATAATAGCCTAATAAATATGATCATGTCCCATTAATGCCTGAGGGGGATAGACACCAGGAAGGAAGAAAAGTTATTTAAGCCAAATAGCAATGTTGGAACCAAACAAAAATGGCCATGAAAACATTTAGGCTGGAAATTAGAAGGTTTGAGGAGTTAGGTTCTGGAACAGCCTTCCAATAGCAGTAGTCAAGGCAAACAGCTGATTTTAAGATGGCGCTTGATAAATTTATGAATGGGGTTATATGATGGTGTTGCCTGCGATAGCAAGGGATTAGAATGTATGGCTCAGGGGTCTCTTCCAGTCTTACATCCTGTTTACATTCCTAAGTGATATGAGACACAGCATTAACAATTATCATTATTGTTGGTCACCAGCCTCCCTCTTCCTTTTCTGTTTTTTTTTTTTTTCCCCCCCCTTACTGGTTCTTGGTTACTTTCCCCATTTCCCAGTGTCTATTAGCTAGCTCAGAGGAACCTTTTCTGTATTTAGTAGAGGGAATGAGAAATTTCCATTAACACCACAGCTGATGAGGTGTCAAATATCTCATACACATTTAGCATCCCAGGAAGCCATGCATATTGTCATAGCCTAAATATAGGTATGCTTTACTGGTCTCAGACTTATGGCTAAATTCAGTGCATATGTAATCAGGGCAACCTGTTACTGATCTCAGCAGAATTGCATTTGCCTATATCCGTGTTGAATTGGGCCCCTAGAAATGCATTTTCCCAATTTTCATCCAAAAGCTAACTTCCTTCGCTGTTGCCAATAGAGTTGTCTTGATCAGTTTTAAAAGCACTATTTGAGCTATTTTGGGAAGCTCATAACAAGTTTGTTCAGTTCAAAACAAGGCTTTGCCCTCTATGACTAAAGTCAGTACAGGAAATTGTAAAACAGATGGCACTCGATCCTCTGCTTTGAGTGCCTGAGACCGTTTAGAATACTAGACATTTTCTGAAGGCAGATCCGAGCAGTACATGCCTATTATATTTCTAAACTTCTGAAATTCCTAAAATGAAAATAATTGTCTTGTTGGTATTATTTTTAACAAAACTGCAGTAGCATTGAATCTCTTTGGGGAGGAGAGGGAATATTTTATCAAAGGCTTCTGTGAAACTTTAGGCAGTTAACTCAGTGATTGGTTTTACACTGTGATAATGTCTGTCCTTCTAGGATACGTTTTTCAATAAAAGTCTGAATTAAAATCTGATATAAAGACTGTACTATAGGTTGGCTACTGTGGTTCAATGCACCATTGCTGTTGACTTTTGTTCAGCTGTAACCTTCTTTTCTTTCTCTGACCATAAGTTTGAATATTGGCAACTTCGGTCTTGTCTTTCTCAGCAAGTGCCACAGTTGGGCAAAGGCATTCTAAAAATAAACCTAATTATCATGCTGGAAAATAATATACTAACAATAATATTACTGCATGTTTTGCATTATCTTAGGATTTCATATACAAACTTAATATTAAAATAGATCTTCATTGATTCTTAAAATATACTTCATTAAACTGACAATTTAGATTTACAGAGCCTGCATATGTTTAGAATCACTTCAAAAATGACGTGACCTTTCTATAACAATCAGTTTCTTGCACTTTATGTGGAAAAATTAAGGAATATGATCCACTCATGTAGCATATTATTAATCACCGTGGATTGTTGCCTATCATTCTATTTAATTTTTCACCAGTTGAAGGCCAGGTTAATAATTTGCTCGGTGCAAGGCCCAAAATGAGATACCAAGGAACCAGGCATTTATCTGGTGGGCTGGACCCTGGCGTAGCCCTGATGGCCACTGCTGTGTGATCTGAAGCTTTGATCTGGGCTCTCCCTTAGTTCACAGCTCATTTAGTCTGTTTAGTTTCATATCAGGCAGAATAAGCAGAGCCCAGATTACTGCTAACATGCAGCCTGTTGCTTCCAGAAGGATGAGGAAGACCCCTGTGGTGGCATTTCCTCACCTGACTTTTGACATGGGAAGGGGAAGGAAAGACACAGTATTGTCCACTTCAAGAGTTCAAAAAATCAGGAGATTTTAGAAAATGGTACATTTGGAGTTCTTTTTATTTTTCCCGGGTTTTTGAAGGCTAGAGGTGGGCAAATTGGACAAGTCAGGTAACACAGCTTGTAGTTTTATCCAGAATTTTAACTTGAAATGAAATAATCCTTCCTTAAGGCTTCAAAAAATAAAAAGTAAGAGAGGTTTTTTCTCTTTTTTTATTTTTCTTCATGTTTTGAATCTCTGCACTTCTGGTCCCTGCTGAGAAGTGTAAAAATACAGAACTTTGAGAATCCATCTGATCTTGAAATATTTCCACTTGTAACCATAGGCCAGAAGGCTTGACAGTATTGCTGGCAAGCCAGTTCAGCCTTAATTTGTAGAATCAAAAATGTTGTATAGTTCAAGTAAAGTTTAGTTAAGCATTCACACTTTCAGAGGGCAGATGTAATCTAGTGGACAAGGATGACTGTGAGGTTAAAAAAATGGACTAAAAATCAGGAGACCTAGGTTTTATATCTAGCTCTGCAACAGATTTACTAGGTGGACCTGGGCAAGTCTGTGCATCTGTAAAATGGGAATGATGCTATTACTTACCTAAATGAGGCCAAATGTATTGATATTTGTGAGGTGATAAGCACCATGGAAGCAAAAACAAATAGTGAACCAAGCACAGGATTTCTGAGTGCTAATCTGAGCTCTGCCACTGACTCTCTATGGCCTATGGCAAGTCACTTAACTTTTCTTTTTTGCATCTTCCTTGTGTCTGCATAGGGAGAGTAATAACATACAGTACCTACCTTACAGGGACATTGTGAGGATTAGCTACTGCTGGTAAAGTGGTTTGGAGGCCGAAAGTGCTATAATAAATACCAAGTATCATTATGTAAGCCAGACCTCCAGTTACGAGTATTCGAAAAAAGGGTCAAAAAGTGCTAAAATCTTGAAGGAAACAAAAATCACTTTAAAAATAAAATAAAATCTCTGCTTCCCCTTTTGTTATTTTTGTTTTAAAAATATCCCAGTACTTAGTATCACAGAGTAGTGACTTTCCAAATAGCTGTTCTAATAAAACATTTTTTTAGATGAACATTTATGACTCAATTACAAAACACACTTAAATAGATAATTATAGTGGAAAGGATGAGACAACGATATCCATGGCTGTGCAGACAAACTGCTGCTATTTATTTTTTCTCATATAATGTCCATCTGGATTGAATCAAGAGCATTGCACTAAAATAAAAGTCCTTAATTTCTTCCTCCTCCCTTAAATAAAATTTTACTAAAGTGTACTTTATTGGGGCTTTAACTTAATTGCATATTTGTGGGCATTACCAACTTTTAAGCCACCTCCATGTTTGCTTGGGAGAGGGATGGGCGACTCACATTCTACTGAATGGCTTGAAGACCTCAGTGCTGAGCGTGGCCCTTTTTTTATCCCTCCTATGTCAAACACTTCAGTTGATAATTTAGGAGGGCTTCCCCTTTACCACTTGAATCTTGGTGGTAGATCCATAATGGCTCTCATGTGGGGGAAGGAGTTCAGAGTGCTCAGCAGGGACTTTCAGCTCTTCAGGGAAAAGCTTGGTGGCGGTGTTCCTTGCCACCACACTGAACTGCAGGGTACCCTCCCCCTCACAGACCAAGTGTTTCCCCTCTGTATGCACCCAATGCTGTTGGCCAGTCTAAATGGTAACAGGTAGATAGTGGGTAAGTTTTGTGGAGTTGAGTGTGTGAAGCAAACCACATGCAAATTATTTAATTAGATAATTTGCATATTTAGAACCAATGTATCTGTAACAATAAACTTCCGTTTTAGAAAAAATTGTGTGAATTTAGTGCTGGTAAAAAGTATTGATTCGATAGTCCTAGTAAATGAAGTTCCTGTTATCAGCAGGACAGGCTGTCCACACACCATGCCCTGCCAGCATACTTTGATCTTTATCTGGAGGATGCTGTGGAAGAAACTTGCTCTATGGGTAGCAGGGGTAGTTTAGTCTCTGTGGCCCGTGACGTTTTTGACCCCTCTGCTGAGTCTGCCAACCAGTGCAGAGTATAGTGTGAGTTTGTGACATTGGAGCTGAAACTGAAGCCCACCAAACTCATCACATAATGGGGGATCACCAAACATCCATTAGATGGGAACAGTTTTTAATCCATAGTAATCTGGTCTGGATTAAAATTGGTGACCTACAGACTGAAGGGTTTGCAGCCCATAAGCAATGCTCTGAGGCATCTGGTCCCCCAGTAAGATCTGATGCTACACCTTCATGAATGAGATTTGTTTGTTTGAAAGATACACAGATTAAATCAAGTTCTGACCTTTTTGGATTTTACGCAAGGGGAGGACTTCTGCTCTGTTGACACAGGGACGAAAATCTCCCACACATTGTTCTGTACTTCCATCCCATGTTGTTCTTAAAGGGACAGCTCCAATTAACTGAAATGTAAACTGTAGAAATACAACAGTAAAACTGATATTAACCCAGCATAGTAATTTACTGTTAAGTATAACATTTTGCAATATAAAAGCATTTTAACAGCTAGAAATATTCCAAGGTTCTCACACTATATTTTACAAACAATAAGTGTTATATAAAAGCCCATTAAGGACTTGTCTACATGGTGAGGTAATGCACTCTACAGGGGTGTGATTCCTAAAGCACACAAAAGGATTGTACATTAATTGGTCCATGCAGACCCTGCTGGTAGGAACTAAAAGTTCCGGTAGAGTGCATTGCCGCACAGTGTAGACAAACCCTAAGTTTACAAGTATAAACATCCACTATTTGGGAAAAAAACAGTTTTCAGTTTGCTACAGCAAACCTTGCTTCTGCCTCCTTTTGTGTATGCATTGTGATTGTTACATGTTCATATACTATTTTTTTCCCAGCTCGGAGTTCAGCAGAGTTGGAACCCAGGAACTTCAAATTCACTACACAGACTTCTTGCACTTACTTTCTCTACCTCTGTTTTACGGATATACAATGACAAGGTTGCTAAATGTGTCAGTGTCACCTGAGATCTGCAGGTAGCAGTGCTAGGAGAAGCTGCCTGTGTAAGGGAGGCATTGGAGCACACACTGTAGGAAGCGGTTTACTTTGCAAGGCCCAAGAGCCAGTAAGAAAGTCTCATCTATAACTGAAAGGGGAGGAATATTTGAATTTGTTGCATATATGTGTTTCCAGGAGGTGGGGCAAATAAGACAAGAGAGGAAGAAACTGCATGTGTGAGCATGGTTGTGTCTGGGAGGAGGCATATAAGGGAGAAACTGGGAATGGAGTTAAGGACCAAGGGACAGGAAATTTTGTTGTGGGCAAGAAAGATGGTTAAAAAGGAGGAAGTAAGTGAGGGTTAAATATTTAAATTATTACTTTTATCTGCGGCCGCTCCCCCCTACTCCCCACTATGCCTGCAAGAGCATTGAGCACAACTTCTCCACTCAGCAGTGAAATCACAGCCCTGTTTGGTTTAAGGACTTTTAAGAGGAAAATCCTAACTCAAATAAAAGCAGCAGTAAGGAAAGGAAAACTGTTCAGACACTAAAAATAAAAGAACGCCACTCATGAGGCTGGTTATTACATCTGTCCAAAGTTTGGAATTCCAGACATCAGGGTCATGAGGTCACCCAAAGGTTACTTTTCTCCCAGTCAAGAACAAACATAACGGAACTGCACATCAGCATCTTTTCCCATCCCACTTGAAGGATTGCCAGAACTGCAGTTGGATGTGTTCACAAGTGACGCAAAATTCTATTATTAAACACAGACAGAATATGCCATCGGTCACTTAGCACAGAAGGAAACCATTAACATCAAAAGGGGTGGAGTAGAGAGGCTTTTTATACTGCCAACTGCACGTATAAACTTAATACTAAGTAGAAGAACATAACTGATTCATATGGGGTTTTTTGTGTCTTGGAAGGCTAATGCATTTCTTCAGTTCAGCTATGCTGATGCAGAAGTATATAAATACAATGTGGCAGAAAACCAAAATCCAAAACAAACCCTCTCCTGGGCCACATTTCTATAATTTGGGTTGGAATACGTGAGCATTTAACAAATTCTTCTTTTATTAGAAGAGTTGAGCTGCAGCTGAAGTTTTCCAAATGCTACAAATGTCATGATAATATTTTAAATGTTTTACCATATTTAGCTACAATAAGCTCTCATTCAAAATGAAAAGTTCATTCCTCTAAAATAACAGCCCTAGAGAAAATCTGAAGGTTACCCGCAAAAACTGTGACTCAGATTGAGTTAGTACATATTTTATTTAGGAGAATCTTGTGGACTTCACCTTTTTAGTACTTTATCATTCACTGTGTATTACTTCAGATGTTAGACACGCATACAGTTGACTTTTAATATGTCCTTAAAAAAACCCCTTGAAGAACGTAGCGTTTCACTGAATGACAAAGATTTAGAGCCAAGACATTAATGAAGTAATGAAATACAAGACTTAATTAGCTTATTCTTTTGTAGCTTTTAAAATTTAATTTAGAGCAGTTAAGGTTGGCTGTGTGTGATCATTTTCCCGAGTCCTTAAAAGTATAATGCCTTAGGAACAACTTTAGAATGTTTTAAAAAGAAATATTTAAAGCGATGCTACAGGAGCCACACAATAATATCAAATTATAGCTTAACCTTTTTCCATATAATAGTTTTTCACATTCCATATGATTTAAATGTTCGGGGATGGGGGGTTCTGTTGTTCTAGCATAATGTTAAGGAAACACTCAAGAGTTGCGGCAAATCTTTTAGTAAGATGGAAGAAGCAAAGCTGGTAAGACTTTCCTGTGTAGTTGAATGCAAATGGCTGCCACAGATGATTTAAGCCTTAACTGCATAAATCATATTAGACCACTGTAAATTAACATTAGACTTACACAATTCCCTCTAAATATTGATGTAAACTCTACAAACAAACAAATTTGATTTTTTTCAGCATGAATAAAACATTACAGAATTTTAAAATGGCACCATTCATCTGGACCAGTGGGTCCCAACCCTGGGTGTTCGCGAAATGTTACAGGGGGTTCTCAGGAAAAAATTCCCTAATGGCGGATAGAGCTGTCCCTTGGACTTGCAAGAGCTATGCAGATCAAAGCAAGCATATATGTCACACTGAGGAGATTTAAATATTCAAGACTCCTTATAAGAAATGGAAAGGGAGATGGATATTTTTTGCTGTTTTTAAAATTAAATAGGCACCTAGCACTGTTTTTAAAATTATTATGAAGAACATGTTTAAGCTTTGTAACATGTGTTGTTTGCCTGGACTACTCAAGACCTGAATGCTTGTGTAGGAGGAACTTTAAGAAGCTTACTCAAATACCTTCATGCTGTTTCACATCTGATACTCCTTGATGAAACAGGCTTATTCAAAATGATACAAGCTACGAAAGTGAGATCTTGGAAGAGTGTTGCCGTTTTCATAATGTAATAAAAATACTGTAATGATAAATAATAATAGTGTGAATAAACATGTCATAAAAACAAATTTTATATTTCCAAGATCACTGCTTTTATAATTTATACTCAGGTAAAAGAGAAAATCCCTGGAAATATTCATTTTTAGGAGGGGTTCGTGAGACTTGACATTTTAGTGAAAGGGGTTCACAGGTTGTTAAAGTTTCGGAACCATTGATCTGAACCAACCATTGTCAGTTAAATTGTACCTTTGCCTTACTTCATCAGTTCTGCACTGAGATCAGCTTTGCTAGACCAGAGGATCCAGTCTGCAATTTTCCAGCAAAGTAAAATCCAATTCATACTTTCAAAATTAAATTTCCTTGTGACATTAAGTAGCTTCAATTGCAAGGAACAAAGACACTTCATGTAGACCTGGTGCTGTGAGCTTTAAGAAGACTGGGCGTAATGCTCTCTTTTCTGTTTACAGAGTAATGTTGTCTTGTTGCTGGATACGAAAACTGGTGCCATTCATAGACTTTTACTCTCACCAGATACCCAAGAAGTTCCAAAGAGAGCATCCTGGTGGGGCAACAAGGAGGAGCCGGTGAGGAACAGCAACTTCCTGGCTAGACTATACCAGACCTATCAGAGCTCAGTATTACAGACATGATAGCAGGATAGCTTCCTTTCTATCTTTTATGGAACAAACAGTTAATTGTGTACTGCTATATATATTGAATTCTCAGTTTTGTACCAGCAGAATATATCATCATTACAGAATAGAAGGGCAATAAATAAGGGATGCTGTCTAGGGATATGTAATTTTTACAATGAAACCCTTTCAGATATTTTGCTAAGAGTTACAGAAGATTTTGTTGTGGTTCTGTTGAGCCCAAAGCAGCGTGATCTGTAATTCATTATACTGTGATGCAATTTATGAATTTGGAGTAGGTGGAAAGGTGCTTTGAGATGCGGTTATCATAGTGAATTACTTAATTAAAGAAAAACTAGCAAATTTGGTATGATTCAGTGGTTGCTGCTTGATTCTCAGCACTCTTGAAAATCAGGCCACCTAGTTACGTGCCTAAATGTGGGTTTAGAAACCTAACTTTAGGCACACTTTTTTGATCACCTTGGCCAAATATTTTAGTTTCTGACTTTTCTAACCAGAAAAAAGCATAACTATAAATATAAGGAGTCAGGTAAACTATTGGGGACTGACCTGACAAATTGTAATTGATGTGTAATGTATTTTTTTAGATCAGTCACAAAATGTGCAGAGAGTTTTCACATAAAAACTGGCTGGTGTTCTACAAAGAAGAAGGGTGAGAGTTAACTATAAATTACATTGCTTTTGTTTAAAAAAATAGATTTGTCATATACGTTCTCTGCCTCATAATTGTTTTCTTGGTTTACATTTCACAGAAACTACCTTATTGTGCTGGATGTACTGGAGGGTCGAACTCATACTATCTCACTACCTATCAATCTCAGATCCGTTTTCCTAGTGGCTGAAGACCGTTGGCTCTTGGTGGAAAGCAAAACAAATCAGTAAGTTAACCAAATTCATTATTTGTTTGGTAGTGTCTAGGAGCCCAAGTCATAGATCAAGATCCCCTGTGCTATACAAACATAGAACAAATGGAGATATTTGGCAATATTTGCAGCTGCATATCAGTATTTGTGTGCATCTAACCTACCTGCACAAATGCCTAATGTGCACACACAAATTTACTGGTTTTGTTTGTGTCTATGGTTAGGTGCCTATGGTCAGATTTCTTAGAGGTGCAGATTTCCCCATGCCCAAATTGCACTTGTGAATCCAGAGTGGTGAATGTGCAAGATGAGCTTATGTAAATTTGCACCACTGAAAATCTAGACCAAATTTGGCTATGTCCATATTCAGACCACATTATACACAGCTGGTATTTATGCCTGTATAAATTAGGTCCTTGCCAATATTAGTGTGACTGAAAATCTGGCTCATTAGTCTACTCTCCTAGTTACTTTGATTCATAGTTTAATGGAACAAACAGTTCTCCATTTTCCAGTTTCTGTTTAACCTCACAATAAATACAAGTGTATAAATAGTTACCGTAAGCAAATCTGCCTCTCTATGGTTTACTTTCTCGACCTATAAACTAGAGAGAATAAATGCTTACCTACCTCATAGATGTGTTGTGAGGCTTAATTAATTTTAAGTAAAACATGTTGAGATCCTTGTTATATAAGTATAGAGTATTTTTACTATTTAACAAATAAATATTCTTGTTACACCATTTTTTAATAAGTCTGCATTATTTACAGGAAATTTCTTTTAACCAAGCCAGCGCATATGGTATCTGAAGAGAGTGGAGTTTGCCAGCTGCATGCATTGAATGAAGACCCAGTTGACAAGGGTTTTGGTTTAACAACAGGTACTCAGTGTAAACCTGTGTCATTCTTTTTTTTATCAACTCTGTGTTTGTGCCTGTACAAACAACATTCCGGTACTTTAGATGTTTGAGTAATTTCATGTCTGATTCTTTTCCTGTAGTGTGTGATTCATACCATTGTTTCAAAAAAGATGGCAAAGTTCTGTACATGAGCTTGGAATTGTTTGAATAAAATGCCTCAGAAATTTTGAGAACTGTACAGAGACACACACATCTATTATAGGGGGCGCTGGAAGCAACCCCTTTATTTAGACTGCCTATCACTTTCCATTACAAGTGATTCTTGCAACCTTTCGTTTGAGGAGCTCTCACACCTCCATTGTTTGTAGCAGACTTTGACATTCAGGAGGAAGAACCCTTTAGGCTTCTGAAGTTCCTTTTCTATATCCCATGAAATTCCATTTAGATTTGACTGAGATATTGAGTTAAAACGTGCCGTTTTCCTTCTCTCACTTGCATTCCTCAGAAAAATGTTGCCAGCATGCCACAATTATTGAACATTGTCAGTAGAGGCAGGTTTGGAACAAATTGATAAATTAAACAGTAATAAAGCATAAGGATCAGATGTTATTCACCCAAGAGTTATGAAGGAACTCAAATATGAAATTGCAGAACTACTAACTCTGGTATGTAACCTACCACTTAAATCAGCCTCTGTACCAGATGATTGGTGGATAGCTAATGTAACACCAATTATTAAAAAAGGCTCCAGAGGAGATCCTGGCAATTACAGACTGGTAAGCCTAACTTCGCTACCAGGCAGATTGGTTGAAACTATAATAAAGGACAGAATTATCAGACACAGAGATGAACACGATATGTTGGGGAAGAATCAACACGGCTTTTGTAAAAGGAAATCATGCCTCACTAATCCATTAGAATTCTTTAATGGGGAGGAGGGTCAACAATTATGTGAACAAGGATGATCCTGTGGATATAGTATCCTTGGACTTTCAGAAGGCCTTTGACAAAGTCCCTCACCAAAGGCTCTTAAGCAAAGTAAGGAGTCATGGGATAATAGGGAAGGGTCCTCTCATGGATTAGTAACTGGTTGAAAAATAGGAAACAAAGGATAGGAATAAATGGTCAGTGGAGAGAAACTAAATAGCAAGGTCCCCCATGGATCTGAACTGGGCCCAGTGCTGTTCAATATATTCATAAATCATCTGGAAAAGGGGATGAATAGTGAGGTGGCAAAGTTTGCAGAGGATACAGAATTATTCAAGATAGTTAAGTTCAAAGCTGACTGGGAAGAATTACAAAGATCTCACAAAACTGGGTGACTGGGCAATAAAATGGCAGATGAAATTTAATGTTGATAAATGCAAAGTAATTGGAAAATATAATCCCAACTATACATATAAAATGATGTAGTCTAAATTGTCTGTGACTACTTAAGAAAGAGACCTTGGAGTCATTATGGATAGTTCTCTGAAAACATCTGCTCAATCTGCAGCAGCAGTCAAAAACCTAACAGAATGTTAGGAACCATTAGGAAAGAGATCGATAATAAGACAGAAAATATCATAATGCCACTATATAAATCCATCGTATGCCCACACATTGAATACTTGTGTGCAGTTCTGGTTGCCCCATCTCAAAAAAGTTATAATAGAATTGGAAGAAGTACAGAGAAGAGCAGCAAATGGGTAAATACTTGGGGCCAGAGTTTTCCCAGGGCTGGGAGTGGGGGCAAGAGAGATCCTCGTTAGGCTGGTCATCCCCCTGACCAGTCTCCAGACCCAGCACCTGCAAACGGCAACCCTCCCCCCACATCAGAAAAAAGCCTTCTGTTGCTGCCAGCTAACATGGTGATTTCTGTAGTCCTAGTAGCATCAGTCTCTGCTGCAGTGCGAAAGGTTCCCAGTTGAAACCATGCTGATGATTCATTATTGGGTGGGGGAATTGTTACAGTTGTACATAATAGAATTTGATTATATTTTTTCCTTAAAAGAAAAAAACTCATAAAAATCTAGGAAATTATATACAAAAATCCTATGTTAAAAGAAAGTTATTTAGGTTGAAAATTAGGATATGGCATATTCCGTGCAACTTTAATTTTGCTCCCATGGGACAATTTCACTGTTGTCTCGTTCAATGCATACGAGGACACAAGCTGGCAGAATTAAGGCTTTCCTAACTTTTGAGTGCTTGACTTTGCAACCTAAATAATGTTAATGTCATTTTTTTGGATGTAGTACAATGTAGCATAAACAGATCTTGACTTCTTTTCTTCATTTTATTTCTGTTGAATTATGATAAAAAGAATAATAGTAATTAGTGCTCAGTGCTTGTAAAGATAATTGGTTCCTCTTGCTTATCTGGATTTAATGCATATCATTTGATTCCCCACTTTAGCATCCGATTTGTGTGTGCCGCACACAGTTTCAAGTGACCAACTATCTTCAGAGAACCTAAGCGTAGCTGTGGAACAAAAGATCAGCTCTCCCAACAGGATTCTCTCGGATGTGCATAATTATGCTACTATTGTTGTTGGCTTCCCAGAACTTATGGTAAAACCAGTATTATTAAATTGTAAAATAATGATCATTACATTTATTTCATAACCAGTTAATCTAAATAGCCATTAACCTAATTATTTGCAAGAGGTAGTGAATAATGAGGTAATAAAATTTGCAGAGTATGCAATGTTTGTTAGTGTAGTCAAGTGTAGAGAGATTTCAGAAGGACTTGACAGTGATAGGAAATTGGGTGACACAAGGCAGATGAAATTCAATGGAGATAAGTTTCATACACTACGCATGGAAGAACCATCTTACTCCTCATACACATTGAAACATTTTAAATTAACTGTAACTACTCAAGAAAATGACATAATTGCAGACAATTCAGTGTGAACATCTGCTCAGTATGCAGCAGCAATCAATACAGCAAATGAGATGCCAAGCTGTAGTTTAAAAAAAGAAAAAAAAAAAAGTCTGGAGAGTACTACAGAAAAATACTATTATGCCATTGGCTGAATTGATGGTGTGCCTGATCATGAATACTGTGTTTGATTTTGCTCACCCTGTTTCAGAAATCTTATAGCAGAAATAGAAAAGATCCAGAAAGGGAAAGGGAAATGAAAATGATTAGAGGCATACGAGGGGAGAGTATATCGATTAGAGATGTTGCCCAGAATGAAGATGAACAAGAGGGACATGATGGGGTATATTTGGTATTAAGAGGGTTTTTAGGATAATTCTATTTACTATCTAATAATAAAAGGACAAGGGGGACACCTGCTGGAATTAAAAGTCATCAGATTTACAACTGATAAAAGAAAATACTTTTTGACATAGCACATAACAACGTTGATCCATTGAACTCACTGCTATAGCACTTGGAGTTACAGAGCTTACTAAAATTGAAACAAGGATTTAGACCAGGGGTCGGCAACGTTCAGCACGCGGCTCGCCAGGGTAAGCACCCTAGCGGGCCAGGCCAGTTTATTTACCTGCTGATGCGGCAG